TTGTGTCCCTCTTATTCTAAATTATGTCAAACTTTACTTTTTATCGCATTTTTTTACCATGCTCCTCCAGTGATATGTGATTGCATGGAGAAGCTATTCAGCTGAGTATTTCGAGCAGATATCCATCAAAAATATTAAATGGAATTTCCTGCAAGTAAAAGGTTTGAATATAATTCACAGGATATTTGGGTTCAATTGTAACTTTTATCCTAAATTAAGTAAGTTTGAGGACACCAATTCAGAGAGGACGATTGGCTAGCAAGAAAGAAAAGTAAAACTAAGGGTTGTGCTTTCTATTTTCACTTCCAAAGTCAGAAGCAGAAATAATCTTGATTTGGAAGATCGGCTAGATTTATGAAGCCCATGTAAGTCGAGAGATCACACATTATTATTCAATCAACATTAATATGCTTTGTATGTCAATTCCGGACCTAGGAACTTAAACACGTGCATCAAACTGAATTTGCCCATTCTTAGGGAGTACAATCCAATTCTCAATGCTGAAGATCATTTTAGAAGTTCCGAATATTGAACAGGGAATCCCGTAAGATAAACTATCATATTATCATGACTGAGAAGCCCTAAATAAAAAATTTTCTTATTGACCTGGAGCCACTACGAAATTCTAATTAACCTATGATTGATTGCCTACTTCTATTTATCACCTCCAAAACAAAAGTTATTTACTTAATTCTACGAAAGCTGGTGACTGGTTAAATTGACAAGTTTATATGTCCAATATGAGAGGCGCAGAATAGCCACACCACACTACTACAGGAAAAGACAATACCTTTTCTCCTTCTCGATTTGGATCAAGGAGTGGTTTTTGTTCAGAAGCAGGCAAAGGTAGAACTTCGTTCCACATTTTTCTCCACGAATTCCCATTATCGGACATTCTCTCAGATAGTCTCCCTCGAGGAGGACACTTGACTTGCGACACCTGTACAGCTGCATTGGCTTGAGAATCACAAACCTTCTGACCTTCATCATCACTAATTTCCCAGTCCCTTGGTGAATGCCAACGGATAAAATCTTCAAAGACAGCATCCGGATTAGCTGCTTTGAAAGCTGACATGTCTGCAGCAGCCAGGTTTGGGGAAGCAAAATAACACTCATAATCATAACGATAAAAAAATATAGTTAATCTTAATAAAACATTCTAGCATGAAAATTGAACGGCCAACTACTGTTTATACTAAACATGTTTTATGGAAATTTAAAATAGAAAATGATGGATAAAAACACCTTTGACTTCATGCAAAATAAAAAACACGTGGTAAACTGTCATCTGCACTCCAATTCTTTTTTCTGATATTTATCTTTTGTACATGGAAAGGCAAAGGAACAAAAATATTTCCTAAGATTCTAAGTGATCCTTGCAAAGATCTATAGTAGGCTATGACAAGCTGATGAGTATAGTGCTAGTCATACTAGATTACATAAATGAATCTGTAGCCTGATTTTCTTTTAAATTGATATTTATTAAATGCATCGATCTTATAGCCTCCTAACTCATTGCTGCAAAAAGGGAAAAAGGCGGAAAATATATATCTCAGAAAAATAAGGTATGGTACACACAACTGCTAAATTAAAGAACAAATCACATACTCAGAAACAGCATTACATGAAGTATGTCCTTGAATTTGATAGATCAAGTTCCATTTTGCAGCTGATTGCTGAAAGGCATGCATGCAGCACTAGGACTTTTGCGATAGATACTAGATATAATTCTCTACTGGCTTCTTCTTTTCACTATAATGTACTGATCTCGAAAACAATGATTCAGATGTGTAAGTAATTATCTTTTATTTTCCCAGGTCATAGTAAGGTTATTCTTCATTGAGTTTCTTTTCTTTTTTATTTTTTTTCAAATTTAGTTGATTTTCTTGTGGATTTGGTCATATCAAATGTTATTTGGGTGAAGAAAAGAAGAATGATAAAAGTCAAAATGTTAGAACCTGAAAATTCATGCTGCTTCTTTGATTAGGCAAAAGTGAAAACCCATGCTGCTTCACTAATTAGGCTTGTGAATGGTTCTCAAAGAGATGGTAGCATTAAGGGTGAAAATGAATTTTGTTGGCCAGGTATCAGAATAGAAACAGATGGCATGAACCAAGGATTTTAGATAATTCATAAAAAAAAAATCTGTATCCAAAATTTTGCTTCGTTGGAACCAAAAGTCCAAGTTCAGAATTTTAAAATTTTTCATTATAATTTCAATTAATTCTGATTTATCCAAGGATTTTAGATAATTCAATAAAAAAAAAAAATGTGTATCCAAAATTTTGCTTCGTTGGAACCAAAAGTCCAAGTTCAGAATTTTAAAATTTTTCATTATAATTTCAATTAATTCTGATTTATTATTATTATTATTATTATTATTATTATTATTATTATTATTATTATTATTATTATTATTATATTACCACTGAATATTTGAAGATGCCTTCAAAACCACTGTACATTTGAGAAAAACTACGTTAAGTTGAAAAGCCCCCAAATACCAGACATGGGGATAAAAGAACCAACAACAACAACAACAACAACAACAACAACAACAACAACAAAGCCTTTAGTCCCAAGCAAGTCGGGGTAGGCTAGAGATGAAACCCAAGAGAGGGGATAAAAGAACCACCTTAATTTTATTCAATTGGTTGACAATATCGCATAGTTTGAAAGGTATTTTGTCATAAAAAGGGGTTTGTACGGTTATTTACAAAAACTCACAAAGTTTGTGGAAATTAAAAACACAAATGAGCAGTATTGGAACTTATTTCTCTTTTATCTGTGCAAAAATAAAAACCTTAGGCAACAGCCAACAAAGTAAAAAGATAATTACCAGATGCCAGAATATCTTTCTCAAGTTGGCCGGAGAAGCTCTGTAATGAAATGCAGATTGTCAGTTTAGAAATATCATGTCTAGCAGCAAGAATATAATAGTGACTGTTTGAGCAAGCAAAAAGTAGGAGAAAAATATTTTGATATGAACTGTTAACAACGTTCAGAGAAAGAAACTTCTTGATAAACTTGAGAGGCACAAAGATCAGCAGGAATTGCCTTAAAAGAAGCATTTTGAATTGAGAACACAAAGTATCTGAACTCCGAAAAGTTGAAAACTAAAAGACATATTAGACAAGGAAAACTTCAGATGGTACGATTGTTTGAGCTTACGAATGAGTCACCCAAGGCTTCTGCTGCTCTTAGTCTTTCTTCATGCATATCTTCAGTCATAGGAGGTGGGTCCTACAGTAAAATTAGAGGCAGATTATGCATTTCACTGTGGATGGAGAGTAGGTCGAAGATAATGAACTACCTGTGTTATTGGGGCATGCATATTCTTGCCTGATTTCAAGAGCATCATTGACCCTGCTGTACCAGCTGAACCACTCCTGATATGTAGAAACAATTATTAGAAAAATGCAGAAACCTAATGGTATCAAGATACTGCATTCCACAATCAATCAAGCAAACTGAAGTTCACAACTCTTAGAACCAATAGATTATGAATTCCAATAAAGAACAACATCTTTAGACGTGTATGCGATTATGCACGTGGAAAGACGAGTATGCACACCACAGTTCGTGCGAGTACCAGTGAGTTTTTGAAATGCAGGAAGATCTTAATCATAAAATTATCCAATCTAGTTCACACTACTATTAGTAATTTCTTAACCTACTCAGTGCTGATAAAACCACTAGAAGAGTTCATGATTTTAAATCTCATTAGTTGCAACTAAAATGAAATATGAAGACTATGAGCTAGTAGCCAAAGTCGTACCCCTCACCCTCTATGGGATCTAGTGATGGATACAAAGTTTGATACCTATACCTCTCAGTTTCTCTTAGATATTTAGGATTCCCTTTTTTTCCAATCCCTCTGTAACTATTTAAAAGAAAACTGAAAATATATTTAGAAAGACATTCAGAACCTGGAAGGACATGTTAACAGAGGAACATTGATATTTGTTATTAAAAAAAGCCAAAATATCGCATACATGTATACATAAGAAGACAACAAATTGTATCATACGCCAATAATTCTAAATGTTTATATGTATAATAATTAATGTATAGTCGATAAAGAAGGAAATGAGTTATTTTATAGATATATACAATCACTCTACTAAGCTTGTATACCGGTCCTGTTTCCTGCCATGACCTTCATTGACTCCATGTGCAAGTAAGTCCTTTGGAATCTGGAGATCTTCCTGTTGACAGATTTATAGTGAATGTCAGCTGGCAATGAATGTAGTAAAAGAATCACAAGCAGTAAATCTTCAACTAAAATACCAGTACTTACTTGAGAACCACTTGTGCCAGCATTATGCTCTTTTAAATCACGTCTTTTGTCAATGCAAAGAGCAAGCTGAAACAGAAATAGGACCGCATAAAATTTGACCAGTATATATTTCAATAAAATATATATTAAGTAGAACAGCCAAAAAAAAAAAAGAAAAAGAAAAACCAGCAAAGATGCATAGATAAACTATTATAATTTGTTCTGTACTAAGGCAGCAACCTAGGATATTTCTTAAAGTAGAAACAGGATCATCATTCATCTGTTTGACTTAGTTTTACATACACCAACAACATCAAAAAATTCCCATATTCATGAAGATAGTCAGATAGGCAGGACGGTTTGGATTGCTGTGCCCTTCAAAGTTTCAAACCATCCTGCTTATCTATATTTCATGGAGAGTTACTATTTCGAGCATTTTATTTTTCAACTGCTAGTGGTTAGGACATTATATTTACAATGGGGTCCTGAAGCGCAGGATATTTACCCATTTACAGAGAGATGCAGAGAGCAGATATACACATACGCACACACAGACACAGAGAGAGAGACAGCAAATAAAAAACTAAGTTCTCAAGTCTACTACATTTATTGTGCCAAACTAACAGACCATGTGGAGTTTCTGGTTGATTAAAGAAGTTGATAGGTCAATTGTGCTACTGGTTGACATTCTTGGTAATGGCTGTAACTCTTCCCAACACCAGCGAACCTCACGTACAAACTCTATCCAGAGTACGGCAATGGCTAATCAAACGATACAGAGGAGTAAATCAAAGGTGAAATGATAGTCATGCCTTATAAGGAAAAGATCGTGTTTCTAAAATGCTCCTTGATATAAAAGAAGGTTAGCAGTAGAAATACCTCGTATACTGCAATTACCAAACCAAAGAGCATGTAAACAGAACTGTGCAAAGAGCGACTCAAGTGGGGCGCCTTTAATAGATCGAGAACTTCTATGCTCTCCTGGAGAGGAGTTCAACTGCGCCTCTGTAACTGCAGAGGAAGAAAATTGACTTGAGCAACAAAATGACAACAAGAACCTAACCATGATCATCTGCACTGTGAAAATCTTATTCTGCTAGGTTCACCAACTCGATTTGAACTTCCATCTAAATTTTTGGCAAGGAAATAATTAACAAATAAACAATGCTGGACTTCATTGAAATAGAATGGCAACTGGATTATTGAGAAACAACAATCATTAGTTATTTGTGCTTTGAGAACTGTTCCTGAAAGCTAATTCTCACTGAGCATTTAAAATAATAAAGTTGCAAGTGAAGGTTTACTACCCTCATGAAAGAGATCCTTTAGGACACGATCAAGCACGGTTGGTGGAGGTACAACACCTGACGACTTCAAGTTTTCAGAACCTGAGTTCTCAACTGACATTACCAGGAAATGAAAATTAACAGAATTTACAGTCGGAAAATATTGCTTCCACCAACAACAATTCAGAGTTGTTACTGCATAAACGATTTCAAACCTGAGACAAAATCTTCAATAAATTTAGCTTCCTGTGACATTTCCATTGCTTTAACCAAAAGGTGCAACTGGGAGGCAAATCCAATAGTACTTCCATCAGAAATATGGCTGTCAAACATGAAGAAATAAACATCATTCCACTCACCCACAAAGATCCAGCAATTTCCTATCTACCACATAATGAAGATCCAAGTAATAGGAGAATACTTTGTATAAAGCAGGACTGATGGATCTAAGTGTAGAAGCTAAAAAGTAATTTTCATCTAGAATGAAGTTTACAGCTATCGAGCATTTCCTAAAGCAACGGAAAATTTGTCTGTAAGGTTGGTTTCTGTAGAAGGAAAGATGTATGGGCCACTACCAAAACTATAGACTATATGACCCATTCAAAAGGAGTCAAGGACAAGGGCCAGTTCGGTCAAGACAGATACACTCAAAACACAAAAGTGCTTTTATGCACTTGAGTTAGAGGGAAAAGCCTGGTGATTGTTCCCGATATAGCACATATGCAATTTAAAATAGGAATGTGAGGAAACGTTCAAAAAAATATGAAGAAGTGTCAGAGCCCATTCAATAAAACTGATAATAAGGGCCTGATTGGATATAAGTTATTTTGGATTTTATCGGATTTATTGGATAAAGTGAGTTAATTTTGAAAAAAAAAAAAATGTTTGAGGTTGGTTTGAGTGGGATTTTGAGTGTATATTTAAATAATAGTTAAAATATAATGTTTAAATTTGATGTGATGTAAAAGTAGGAGAAGGGTGATTAAAAGTGATGGGTAGTTAAATTATGTGATGGATGAATAGTGAATTAAAGTTGATGTGATGTGTGAGGATGATTTATTGGTATTATTGAATTATATTGATAACAATGAGGAGAGTTGGGTTGAGTTAAATTTGAGTTGAATTTTGAATCAAAAAAAAATATCTACTGAATATTTTATATCAAATCAGGCCCTGACTTCAGGTTTCTCACTTTTGTACAACCCAATGGTGATGTAAACAACGTGTCAATCACATGCGGAATTACGCGAGCACATTTGGCTGAACATTGTATATTTGTATTATCTGTTTCTTGACAAAAACTTATTGCCTAATAAACCTGAGTCCCCATGAGCTAGTCTTCTAGATTAACATCGATCATAAGTCAGCTCCCCATCTCCCAACAATTTAAATACAAATGACCACATTTGACATACATTTTGGTCTATAAACAATATAGTTATTCATAGCACATAGGAAAAATTCAGAAACCTCGAAACACTATTCTTACAGATTTTCAGAAAGCAGTGGACGTAAGAACCACTTATCAGCATCCAGTGGTGAAGCATTTTCTAATTCTGCCATGTCCAGAGAACTATCAGCTGTTATCTCGGACCACATCACAAGTAACTCGAATCCTGCATCAATTAACTTAACAACATCAAGAAAAATACATTTTCTACACTAAGATTTTTATGTAGGACACTTAAAAGTTATTGTACCACGCCGGCACTCAGACAAAAAGATGTGAGCACCGCTTTAAACTCAATTAACAGCTTATGCAAATATAAGCATCAGCATTTCACCTTTTACAGGGTCCTCAGCAGAGTACCACTTACTCCAAGGAAAATCATCATCCCATTGTGTTTTTCCATTTGTATCATTCTCCATGTTCTCACTGGATTCTGCAGTGTCAGTATTAAGTTCTTGCATTTCATCCTCCTCATCACAGACAGGGGTTCGGTAGGTTAATTTCATATTAAAATTGACTTGATAATGATGCATTGACCAGTCCAACGCAGTATAGGCCTATTGAGAATATTTATGAGAAATGAACTATATCAGTAGATGGCATGAGATAATCATACGGAAGATCAAGTTATGAACAAAACCTATCTAGCATCAACAGACAGAGTCAAGGTTTAGATAAAGAACAAAGCTGATAATTTATCTAGTTAAATTGAAAGAAGGAAAAATTTTATCAGGCAAAGCCTGCCCAGGCCCAAGCACAGATTCAGGAAGAAAAGTCCTGCCAAGCATAAAGCCAACAATCTCCATTCCACCAAGATAACTCATCTGATAACACGTTCTACTTAAATAAAGAGAACCCTAAACATAACTCTCATGGTGTTCTAACACTACTGGCCCAAAGACCAATCAATGATTAAAATAAAACAGAATCTGCTCCGCTATTGATGTGCAACATCAACACTGTGGAAAACACTAATAAGCTCGATTACATAAACAAGCTTCGGAACAAAGTAGAAAGCTAATGCAAAGTTTCAGTGCATTCATAGTATGAAGCAATTCTAGGGTAAACACTATATCTTAGAGAATCAAATGTACAAAACAATTACTAACCTAAGCTATTTCTCTGATGAAAAGTATGACCACGATTTTGGGACAGAAATGCCAAATTCAAAACCATGAACAGCTGCTAATACTTCAAATAAACCTTCACATTCATGAATAATGGTGAGAGAAGTAAAGATACTTAGGAATGACTAATCATTTATGGGAAAAAGATCACTGTTGTTATACATAGCTTCCTAATAAAACATTAAAGGCGTGCTTGGATATAAAAATCTCCACTCAAAATGTATTTCTTTTGGTTAACCAGAGTTAATTTGAAAAAATCCATCATGGTTAGGATTTTAATTTATATCAAAATAATATTTAAAAGAAAATAATTAAAGTTGATTTGATGTAAAAGTAGGAGAGAGATAATGTGAAGTGATGGTTAGACATGACCAAAACACAGGCCGGGCCCGGGCTGACGGGCTGGGTTTCGTGGACCCTGAACCAGCACGGGTCTAGGTTGTGCCGGGCTGGGCCCAACCCAATAAAAAAAAGAAAAAATAATAAGAAAAAGCAAAACCATGTGTTTTTCCGGGGCCGGGCCGGGAACAAGGCACTGGCCGGCCCGGTTAAAATCCGAGCCGGGCCCATACCCTTGGTCAATGGGCTTGACCAGGTCCGGGCCGGGTGGCCCGTGGCCACCTCTAGTGATGGTTAGTTAAAATTATGTAAGTGGAGGTAAAAAGAATTTGAGAAGAAAGAAGCATGACTTACAAACTTAGATACAAACAGCTCGTATAATCCTTCCAAATGCATAAGCTTAATAGGAACCTGGCTACCAATGCGGTCAGCTTCAAATCGTCTAGTAAAAACTGTTCCCATACTTTGAATACCTATATATGCTTTACGTGTAGGGTCATGTACAGGAACAAATGCAGGCCATAAACTGCAGAAAAATGAACATAAAAAAATCATTGCATTTAAGTTCAGGAAGAACTACGGATAAGGAGCAGTACATTAATCACAGAAAGCAAAACAAATGAATAAAAATAAAGTCACGCACTTCAAATACAAAGGAAAACGAATACTAAGAATCCATACACTTGATGGTTTTAGATTCATTACAGTAAAACATTTTAAGTAACAAGTTAAGCTGCTCATCGGGAAACTAATTTATTTTAAACGAAAGGGAAGAAATATTTAGTCCCTCTTACAATTCAAGATCCCTTGATCATTTCTATTCTCAAGTGTGCTTTTCAAACTAAGATAAGATCACTGCTCAGTAGCAGGCCTGTACATTGATTGGATGGGATGCCCCCAAAAGTCTGCATTCTAGATGACATACACGAAGATAATAAGGCAAATAGTGGACTCAAGAACGATACCTAAGCCTTGTTTGTCACTAGACCTTAAAGTGGATTCCGTACCTCTTTCTCAGGCAGTAAAACATGATCTCTACAGAAAATATTTTTGTCAATTTATTCAGTCAAAAACTAAAGTCGAAAGTATTTAAAAGGAGAAAAGAATAATTAGATTCTGTTCTGCATTGTCTCCCTCTTGATCATATCAATGGCAATAAAACATATTTCGTTGGGCAAAAATAGGAAGTTGTTCCTTAGATTCAAAAATAAAGAAATAAAACAAGGTGCAACGTCAAAATAGCAAACATACCATGAACAGTTGGACAAAGCAATGGCTACTGCACTCAAAAGTTTGCTTGCCTCTGGTGCGTCAAGAACCACACCACTTGCACTTTGTGGAGTAATAACCTGATAGTAGAAAACAAAAGTATGAAAAATAACAAGCTGAACAAGAGTCTAAAGAGCAAGATAAAAATAAGCAGAAAGATGCAAGCAACAAGGAGACAAACAGACCACAAACTCATTCACCCCAAAAGAAAGCTGCAGATCAGGTAATGTCTGATCCCAGTCAGCATCTTTGCCTGAGTCAATAAAAATTCTAATTAAAATATAAAGACAGGAAAATAGGGTCCTTTTGATTGTGAAGTTAAGACAGAATATTGACTTTACCACCAATACTTGTAGGAAAATAGTACTCCATGAAATAACTTTTCCCAGCATACTTGAACTCAGATTTAACTTTGTACAAATCTTTTGTGGGGTTCATCGGCACGGCATCCTTTACCTTTAACCAAACAAAAACAGCGTTTAAGCTGAGATGCAAACCTTATCCTAAACCTACATAAAGAAATGGTTCATCATAGTTAATGGGTATAACAAATCTGGAATTTAAAACGAATCATCTTCATATTTTCATAGTAGAAGTCAAGAATATCTCATCACATGCTAATAAGGAATCACAGACAAATGCTAAATCTTCTTCCATAATAAGAAGACTCGGTACAATGTACGATAATTATTTTAACAAAGAAAAAAAACAGGTTCTCCTGATTGGAGAAACGCGAGCATAATGAGCCACCGGACATATTGTAGCGAGCAACAGACAGGGTAACTTCAACAAGTATTACTATAGCATTTAATTTTTGAAACTCTATTGCAGGTGAAAGCAACCATTTACGTCATCAACCACTTTCCTTCAACATCCTGTTTGATACGCAATGATAAATTAAAGAAAAACTGCAGTTAGTAGTATTCATGCCATTTGGTATGTTGAATAAGTGAAGGTATAGTGGACATTACAAAGTGACAGATAATATTTTGAACTTCTTACATAAACCATGGTACTTAATTTTCACTTCAAATTATAGACTCCTCTCTTCATTGGCATGGAGATGGAGTTATCAGCAATGAGAAATAGGTTAAGATTCAGCTATCCCTTCATTGACACAGAGTCGTCAGCAACAACAAATAGATTAAGATTCAGCTACCCTGCATTAGATTAAGCTTAACTAGAGTATTGGAGCGAAATGGGAATATCTACCCAGTGACATAATTTTTTATAGGAAATCTACCAAATGACTTATCCATATCTGACACCAATTGTACTGAGTTACCTAACATGACATCATGAGCAATTGTGATGCCCTCTCCCATCACATATGATATATAGCATAAAGTTAGACAGAAAACCATCCCTTTTGCAAATATATGAACATTGGATACAAGGTAGCAGGAAAAGAACGTGTCTAAGTTCTAACAGTAACAATTACACTAGGATGGGGCATACCATTAGATTCTTTGGACCATCAGTTAACCATTGTCGACACACGGCCTCTATTTCAGATATGAACCTAAAAAACATGCAACCAGTAGTAATATTAATATCAAAGGAGCGTTCTCTTCGACTGGGTAATAACATGTGTCATGCCACATTGAAATTTCATACCTTTCCCATGAGGAGGCAAGAGTAAAATCATCAAAATGCTCAAACTGCAACAACATTAGCATACGGGATAATAACAATAGGAAAAGTAAATTGTACACTTCAAAATAATTCATTAGTCTAGGTGAAGTAGTCCAAGTATACCTCCTGTTCTTCATCATCATCCTCGGCAACGACTTTTGAATTGCTAGTCGACGCCATCCTCCCTTCTCGTCTCTTACAAGAAATTCTAATTGAAAATATCTATAATCTCACATTAAAAAAAAATAAAGGTTTAATTTCGCAATTACAGTTCAGGTACCAAAAGGGATACTCTGGTTCGTACAGACTGATGGTGCTTGAAGATTCCCAATCAATACAAAACGAAAAGTAAAAGAATAGGCATGACCTTAAATTGAACTGCAGAGACACGAATAAACAATTCCCAGTGACCGGAGAACCATCGATCACATGTTGCACATAACTGGACAAAGAGAAATGTCTTTCATACGTTGGTCTCTACCGGACAAACCCGTAAGGCCTTTTTTGTTTTGAAAAAGTAAAAATAGGATTAAGGCCTTTATCACAGATTAATCCTTCCTTTGGTTTTGTGATAGAGACCAAGAATAGAGCTGCTATCGAAACGAACTGAAACCGAGTTTAAGGCTTTCGAGCTTGAGTTCAACTAATTTTAGAACATGTTCGTTTTCTTTCTTTTAGTAATCGAACAAAAAAATTCGTTTGTTTAGTTGTTCGACACGTGCGTGTTTTCGTTTGTTTATATAATCGACTTTTTTCGTGAACTGTTCGACGAGTTCGTGTTCAAATCGTTCAATAAGTTTGTGTTCGTGTTTGTTGACATTTTTTTTTATTTTAATATCATACGATTTATTTATTTAATATTTAATATATATCTATATTTATATATTATATTATATATGTATATAAAATACTTTTTTGTTCGCGAGTGCTCGATTAGATCGCGGATTTGTTCGTGTTCGTTCGATAACTAAACGAGCATAATTTTATGTTCGGGTACGAATCGATTACTAAACGAACGAGTTGTTATCGAACACAAACTAACACGAACTTTGTTCGCGAACACTTTAGTTCGATAACATCTCTAGTCGGGATAAATGAGTTTTGAGATATGAATGATAACCTATCAAGTTGGGGATAGGTGATATTGGAATTATCCACCTCAAAACAATTATGTTAATTGCAATATTACACTTAAACCTCTATTTTTCACTTCTTTTTTTTCAAAGAATAGTCTGCTTCCCAATTTTAAATTAAAGTTTGAATACAGCACCCTAGCTGAGTCTGATGTCTTTTGTAGATGTCTAAGATGGTTTCGGACATAGTTATATAGAACCCTTTGAATCTTGAGAAGAAAACTATTATGTATGCATTTTTGTGTTTGTTTCTTTGTAGTTTTACTTTAGCTTATATTATTATGATGAATATTTCTGATTTTCCTTGTATAAATATTATTATTTTCCTGGTCAAACTCCTAGAGCAATATTACAATATGTATGCATATATATATAATCAAATACCTTCATATGTTTTTGAAATTATTCCTAGTCAATTTGATTTCCCTTGTCCATTATAAGTTAGGTCTAATTATGAATTTACTTTTTCTGGTGTTTTTGGGTGTATGTATCAGTGGTGATGCTCTGAGCAGGGGCTGTACATGTTGAGGTTTGCCACTCAGCACGCTTTTCCTTCACTCAATGGCAGATAAATGAGGCTATCGAGATTGTTGGTCCTCAAAGTAGACTGGCTATGCTAAATATATATGTCATTCTGCTTTTCTGGAGATTACACAATTGAACTGAGGAGACACGAATAAACAATTCCTAGTGACCGGAGAAGCATGGATCACATGTTGCACATAACTGATTTTATTATTCCATGAGTAGACAATTCACTGTTTGTTTATGCTTTTTCTATCAGATCCACTTTAAAACATTGAAAACGAGGTGTTGAGGGAAGCTGAATAAACAATTTGGTGAATGGATCATTCATGCACAAAGAAACAACTAGAGCAACAAAAGACTAAAGGCAGGCAGTACGTATCTGAAGATGGAAAAGCTAATTAATTATCTCAATTTCATTACAACACAAGACAACATATATATCCATCCATATCCATTCCATAAACAAAGAATAATATATATAATAGTCACTCTTGGAACCAGCGATGAGCTAGAGCCTCTCGAGCCGTTATTCTGTCTTGCGGACTGTAGGTCAAAAGGCTCGACAGCAGCTCGAATCCACTTTCCGTTAACAACGGCCCCCCTTTCAAAGCACTATTAGCAGCCGCAAACTTGTGTTGCAGCACACAATGCGGCTGCTCCAGATTACTCACTATCATCTGAACCTGCTCGATTTCCGACTCCCCTCTGAAAAGCACCTTCCCCAAGAAGAACTCCGCCATGATGCACCCGACCGACCACATGTCGACAGCTGGCAGATATGCGTGGGCCCCAAGGAACAGCTCGGGCGCCATGTACCATAGCGTCCCCACATGTGGCGTGCTGGGCTTGTCCTCCAACCGACTCGACAGCCCGAAATCGCAAATCTTGAGCTTGCCGTCTTCCGAGTTTATGAGGAGGTTGGATGGCTTGAGGTCCCTGTGCATGACTTCATTCTGGTGAAGGTGGTGGACTCCCTCGAGAAGGTCCTTCATCAGGCGTTTGACTTGGAGAAGATCAATGGAGGGCTTCATCATCTTCAGGTAGTCGTGGAGATCGTATTCCATGTACTCCATCACCACGTAAATCCCGTCAAAGTCATCCACCACCACTTGCTTGTACTCGATTACGGACGGGTGGCGGATGGAGCGGAGGATGCTTATTTCTGTTAGTGTGGACTCGCATAACCCGCCAAATTCCTTTTTCACGGCTACAATCTCGTGGGTTTTCTTGTGGCGTGCTCTGTAGACGGCGCCGTACCTGCCCTGGCTGATCATGTCAAGACACTCGTAGTCGTGTATGCTGCCGTACCAAGAAGCCGAACCTGTGATCCTCTTTGACTTTTTGGCTCGGCCGGCAGAGTCAGGACAGCCTGACTTTCTCTTCTTGATGTTGACGCCTTTGGGTGCTTTGGATCTGTGGGCTGTTTTTCTGCCCGCAAAGAAGGCGGCGTATGCAGACGGAAGCACTGTACCTGTCGCCATGCGCAAAACCTCCAATAACTTTCTTTTGATGGCAAGAAACAATGAGTAAATTCTAGGAAATAAATTGATTTAGCGTATTTATTGTGTGCACATGTAGGAATTGTTGAGGACCTTCAATATCGGATTTTTACTTGGGTGGAAAGACTAGGTTTTATCTTGATTACCATATTTATTGTAGGAAAGATGTAGTAATTAAGGAGGTTGCAAATCTGAAAGGACGGATTTTTACTTGGGTGGAAAGACTTGTTAATACTATAATTTTTTTTTTTATCATTACATTTTTATTTTATATTTATTTATAACTTCAATTTTTTTTTTTTTCAAATCAATCTTTTCCACTTTTATTTCTATCTTTAGACAAGAAAAAAAATTCTAAAAATTATTATATACATGTTAAACATGTACAGGAAAAAGCAGGGACCAAATTAAATAATGGACCATTCCACCAGATGAAGCCCAAATTAACAGCGGGCTACGATTTATTTGGCGGGTCGCTAATATTAACACCGGGCTATAATTTAACCATGATGTATTTTTTTATTTAAAAAACAACACAATTTATATTATCTATAAAAATAATAGTACCATTTAATATTAATAATAACATAGTTTACATTATCTATAAAAATAATAGTACCATTTAATATTAATAATAACATAGTAGACAATAAAAAATAACATTAATATATTCTCACATAATCTAAGAGGAAGACCCACAAATATAAGTATACAAACCAACGTGGCTAAAGTGTAAAATTTTTACATGGGTCTTCCTCTTAGATTATGTGATCCTTTGGTGCCTCATTCTAGTTTTTTATTTTCTTATTTCTTTTTAATTATGAATAGAGAGAGATAAAAAAATATAATAAAGTTAAATTTTTCATAAATAACATAATGTACTCGACTAAAAGGACGTATTTATTTTTTATAAATCATTTACGGATTTTTGGAAGGAACTTGCATATATATTTTTCGATAATAATATGTAACTCAACTCCACTATACTCAATATTATCAATATAATCAAATAATATCATATTCATCCTTGTACACTACATCAACTTTAATTCACCATCCATCATCTCACATAATTTTAACTCACTTACAATCACACTTCTCTTTAATTTTTATACCAAATCAACTTTAATTATTTTGTTTTAAATATCATTTTAATACAACTTAAAAATCTCACTCAAACCTAATTCAACATCGTTTTTCAATTTAACCACGATTAATTAAAAAAATCAATCTAAAAAAAAAAACCTTATAAACAAGTTTGAATCCGAAATTGAGTTTGAAGTATTTCAAGTTTTAATCTCATCTACTATGAACGTAAACTAAATTTTTCATATTAACATTCTTTTTTTTTTTTCTTCAAACATCAACATATTAACATTCATTTACCAAAAATGGATCCTCCATAATAAAATGATTAAAGCACAATAACACCTAATTTCGTATACATTACTCTATAACATAGGGTTATAATGATATATAATATAATGATGCATAATAGTCTCGTGTATATGGACAGAGAGAATATATTTGAAACCATTTGCAGCAGCAAATTAAAGAGAAACAATGTACTGATTAACTTTCTAAGGTTGCATCCAGTTACAGAATGCACCAAAGAATTGAAATCAATTAAAAATGCAGGCGTGATGCAAACGCAACAAATCCAGCACCGCTAACAATTGTAAGTGGAAAATCTACGTCAAAATGTAATTAACTGACGAATGAAATTAATGTTAATTTAGCACTTAATTATAGTGTGACTAACTTGTCTAATTCAAACTTGGGCATGAACTTTAAAATAACATCCAGAATAATAATTTGTTTAGAAGACTAGAAGAGTGAAAGTGTGATATATAATTTGTTCAGATTTTAATACATAATACTTTAATATATATATATATATATATAGTACTTTTTGTAATAAATTTAAATAAAAAGTGTTACTTAAATATCTAAACAATTTATAAATTCAAATGTTTAAACTAATTAATAAACAATTTATAAATCTCTATTTTATTTAAATATGTAATTTTATTTAAAATAATTTTTCATGTAACAAAATTTGTTTAGAAAATCGTATCGATCTTACCAGTCCAACATACTGGTGTTGGCGGATTCGATAGCAAATATTTTATTCAAGCGCACTAAATCGGTTATAAACCGGTTCTCGGTCCATCCAGTCGGACTGTGTCCAACCCGGTTTAATTTATAAATAATACGTAAATCATGATTATTGTTATTTATTTATTTAGTTTATAATACAATCAAAATATTATTTTCCCGTGCATCGCACGGGCCACGTACTAGTAATTTTCGAAACATGATACGTACATTTAAAACCCATTAATTTAGGAACCATCCAATTTTTTGATAATGAATTAAAATTAAAATGTAAAATGTAAAAGTTGCTGAAAATAGTATATAATAAATGTGGTTGACTTTTCCTTACAACTATTTATGGTAAATGTTAATTCTTATTATATATATATAGATAGATTTATTTTTCAAAATGTACTCATCAAAATGAATTTAGGAGAAAGTAAAATAATAATAGTTAGCATTAAATAACATAATTTAGTTCTCAAAATATGCCTTACATTTATAGATCATTCTCGTAATTTATTTAACAATCAGATTCTGCCTATCACTTGACTACTTAAAATTTAGTAAGTTTATAAAGATTAATTAAAATAAACTTTAATTCTGAAATGAACTAATAATCCGATCTTATAAATTTCGGAATGGAATATGCTTTAATGAAATGATTAAAGAGATTGGACAACTAATGAATAAATGCTTGATTTTATGTCAAAGTTGTCCAACATATTTTGTAAATGAAATATAGTTGAAATATTTTATAGGGTGAATTGGGTATATTTAAATTAGTTTTGCTATGAAGTCATCCACATATATTCACAAATGGTGTATTGACACGTGTCCTACAATAAATGCACTTTGGACATGTGTCAATACTCCATAAAAAATCATCTAATGGCTCCATAAAATTTTTGTATTTAAATACAAGCAAAAGCAAGTTTCTCTTGGAACTCCTTTTATTAATTATATTACAAAAATCCTATTCCTGTATGAGTGATCTAAACAAGATATATAGCGCCCGCCAGCCATATACATTAAACAAAGACAGGCAAAAGCTAATAGCACTAGCCAAGCGATTCATTATAATTAACCCACACATATAAATACAGGCAGGCAATGAATTAATTTGGTTTTCATGCTGCAATATATACAAGTTGTAGGTGGTTGATAATAAAATATATATTTTTCTTTTTTAGAAAAAAAAATGATAGGGTGGGAAGATATATACAAAGTGGTGGTGTCGATGGTGCCGTTGTACGTTCCACTCGTTTTAGGGTATGCTTCTGTTCGTCGGTGGAGAATGTTCAAACCCGAGCATTGTGACGCCATCAACCGTTTCAACTGCTATTTCGTTATACCTTTCTTCACCTTCCATTTCACATCGGGAGTCAATCCTTACCGCCTCAACTTCCGATTTCTGGCTGGTGATGTCGTGGCAAAAGCTATCGTGGGCTCGATTTTAGCCTTATGGGCCAATCTTTGGAGAGGGGGCAACTTCTCGTGGGCAATTACGTCATATTCCCTCTCGAGCCTTAATAACACGTTGGTCGTGGGAGTCCCGTTGTTGGGCGCTATGTATGGGCCGGTTGGTGAGGATTTAGTAGTCCAATCGTCTGTCATTCAGGCACTCATATGGTTCCCAATTTTATTGTTCTTGCTCCAGCTCAGACAACAACAACAAAAACAAAAACAACAACAAGAACAACAAAATGTCGATCAAGAAAATCAAAACGGTGATATAACTGCGGTTGAGTACACCGTTGGATCAACGATGATCAAAGTTTGGGCAAAGCTTGCAACGAATCCCAATTGTTACGCATGTGCCCTTGGACTCGTTTGGTCTCTCCTTGCAAAAAGGTACCTAATCTAACTACCTCCTCATGTATATATTTACTTGGTCAAACAACTCAAATTGATTTCACGTTAATTTGATATACAATTAAATATGTATAGGTGGAATTTTGGGATGCCCGATATAGTGGAAGGATCGGTTTTGATTATGGCCAAGGCGGGGAGTGGTGTGGCCATGTTCTCAATGGGTATTATTATATAGTGTATTTATTATTACTACTATTATTTATTTTAATTAATTAATGGATGAACATTATTAATTAATAGTATTTTACATAACAATTTAATCTCAGGACTGTTTATGGCACTTCAAGAAAAGGTGATAGCTTGTGGTGTGAAATTGAGCTTGTATGGGATGCTTCTAAGGTTCGTGGGTGGACCGCTCACCACAGCAATTGGTTCCCTCGCTTTAGGGCTGAGGTCAAATATCCTCCGTATTGCCATCATCCAGGTGAATTAAGTTTTCATTACAAAATGAAAATTATTTTACTGAATGAAATACGAAATCTATTAATATATAAACATGTTAAACTAAACAAAATTTATTTTAATTAATAAATAATATTTTGTATTTATTTGTCCCATTTAGACATAGACATAGTGATGCTAAACAAATCATAGATATGACCAAGTATTCCAAACATCAAGTATATGATATTAGGAGGACAGAAAAATTATTTGAATTATTTGCTAGAAAAGAGAAATTAGGATATTTGACACATACATTTCATACAAGTTTAAAAATAACTTAATTATTTGTTGGACAACTTGATGAAATAATAAAATGCTGTAAATTATGAGATTAATATAAACATATTGATCGAATATGAAATACTATGACAAATAACATAGAAGGATAAAAGTGACAAATGAAATGGAAATTAAGGTAAAATAAAATAATTAATCTTAAATATTATTTTATTTTATTTGTATTATCGCATGAACCTATGCAATTATGAGTAAATTCTCACTTGTGAGTGATAAACAAAAGAAAATTGATGATAAAAAATTGTACAGTTTTTATCATGAATTGCAGCTGTGATAGCCGTTATATAAAATCTATGTAAAAACAGGCGGCTCTACCAGAAGCCATAACAGCTTTCGTATTTGCTCAAGAATATGGGTTGCACGCCAACGTACTCAGCACAGCGTCAGTCTTCTCTATTGTGCCTCGCCTTAATTCAGCCTATACATACGTAAACTAAATTAAAGTTGTCACATATATATTGGTGATCGATTTTCTTTTGTTTTTCTTTTTCCTTTTGTGTAGGGTCATTTTCGGTACTATTGTATCCCTTCCTCTGTTGATCGCGTATTATGCCATCTTAGATGTTGTCAAGATATGACCACAATTTTGACTTAAAGAGACAGGCTCTCTAGTTGGCCGGCCTTGTACGCTGCATATGACCACAGTTTTGACTTAGAGACAGGCTCTCTATCTGGCGGGTCTTATACGTTACATGTTTCTGATTATCTAATATTTACTTTCAAATAATTTTAGCAGTGGTAGTGCTTGTAGGAACATGCTACGTACAGTCTTGTAACGGAATCACTTCTTTATATAAAACTCTAATAAAAATTTGTCACTATCACTTTTGTTTGACTAACTCATATCAAAACTAAAAGATCTATTAGATTATACTCAATCGAGGAACTATTTCACATGTAGCATTTCCCTTGCTTTTATACATAGTAGAGAGTTCATTCTACTATTTTAGACACACCGGGAAAAAAAATTTGAAATCTTAACAATTGAGTTACGACAAAAAAGTTTCTAATATGTTTCTTAAAAGGAAAATCTATATATATATATAATTGCTAGCTAATTCTATTTAATAAAACATTTAATAAAAATATTTTCACTTTCCCTCCAAAAGGAGTTACACTTTTTTTAATTAATTACTCATTAATCTCACATTTAAGAAGGTTTTTTATAGTTAAATTTAATTAATTAATGACTAAATTAAAAAGATTTATTTTAATTAATCTCACATTTATATTAAGTACAGTATTATCTTAATATCTTATCAGTTTTTCAAAAAAATAGTAACTTTTTTCAATAAATTTTATAAAAATTAGTCAAATGTGCTTATATTCATATAAATCAGAAAAAAAAAAAATTAAATAACATCGTTGAAATAACTTGAATCCGCAAGGGTAATTCTATACTCATTATCAATTACTTTAAATTTTTTGTTTATATTAAAAATTAATATTATATTTACTCCTTTATATTTAGATGGTATTTTTTTTATTAAGAAGCAAGGACAATCTCTATCAATCAATAAGAGTCAAGGACAAACAATATAAAGAAGTGTTTCCTATGCTATGACATGATCAATAAAAGTCGAAGACAGTCTCTGTCGCACGTCGACTTACTACTGAAGAGTTCTGCATTTAGTCATGAGCAATTATACGTGGCGCTTTTTAAAGTTACGAGTCAGTGGGGTTTGAAGATTTTGATTTGAGCTGAGGGAGATTTTGACGATAGAAAAACCACGACGTTGTTTTATAAAGAAGTGTTTAAGAATATTTATATTTTTTTCTTAATTTTTTTTAATGAATTTGTTATGATTTTTACTATTGTTTATAATTTTTATTATTTTTTCATGTATCATATAGTTTTCCGTGCAAATGCACGGGATAAAAACTAGTATTAAGTAAATGAGTTATCTACAAAGTTTCTAATATGTTTCTTAAAAGGAAAATATTAAGTAAATGAGTTATCTACAGCTGTCAACAAGTGGTTCAAACATCATCCATAAAAATGAAGCTGACATTTCAATTTTCATGTTTCAATTTTTCTACTTCATTTGGTTGATGCATGGAACACAAATTACAAATATGATTATATTTCTATCATTCAGGTATATATAATGCATCTAATAGAATGAAATACAAAACGGAATATAAAAAGAGAACATGGGTCCGATCTCAAAAATATTGATTCCAGAATTACCATCACGAAAGGTTTAAAGTTGGGCCTAAGAGTTTTTTGTCTCATATTTGATCCTTATTATGGATTTGGTCCCGCGAAGGGTTCACTTTTTATTTTAGTCCTTTAACTGAAAAATAAAAACAATTTTGGTCCTCTAACCAAAACCGAAAAATGTCATCAGGATGCAGACATGCAGTTTTTATTTATTTTTTATTTATTTATTTATTTTCAATAAATAAGAATAAAAAAAATTATTATTTTCGTACTTTATCTAACCATCATTCGAGATTTAGTTATGTAAAATTGTACCTTTTAACATTTAGTTCATTTTCTATAATAAATTTAAGATTTTGATCATGTTATCGAAAATATATATACAATTAAGTCTTGATTATGGTAAATTCATTCAATACAAAAACAACGTCAATATTGTCTCCATAACATTATGCATAAAATAGTTAAAAGTTAAAAGCTAATTTGTAGTGCACCTAGAGCTCGAAGCATACACTGTTATACGATGTTGCATTCCCATCAGCGAGTTTGGACTTCATCAATTAACTTAATTTTAAGTATATTGTGAAGCAAATCACTATGTCCATCTTTCGACTGAGATCAAATGAATTTTTTCAACAGACCTTTTTTCTTGCATCGAAAAAGTATCGTTGTGTTTTGTCAATTTAAAAATACGATGCAAAAAATAAATCGTTACCAAATGAATAATATAATTAAAAAATAAATCATGGTCAACACATTAGGGTCAACCGCCCACCTCCGATCGGAAAATTTTTCACATCATCTTTAAGATCTTTTTTTTTCGTTCACCCTCCTACAATTTTCGAAAAAAAATCTACCGGTAAGACTGTCAATTAATCCAATCAATGTTTTTAGATCTAGAAAATTCTGATCAAAATTCAGTCTTTCTTCTTCAAATTCCCGGCGATCCACGGGGACCAACCGATATTCGAGGACACCTCCGAACTCCTTGCGCCGCCGCTCACCTGACAACGTCCACCATCTCTAGTATCGACAATTTTTGACAACCCACTTTTTTGGGCATGCCTCCATGCTCAGGTCCTTGGCGGGCGCCAGCGCCACAAACACGGTTGCATTCTCCGCGCATGTCACGTACGCGTCCCCAACCTCCACCTCCGGCCCTCCCCGAGAACCCCACTCGTTAATTGCAAAACTAATATACCCACAGAACCCCACTCGTTAAGTTCTGTCTGTCATCACTAATGAAGGAGGGCAATTTTCATAAATTCAATTAGGCCGGAAGGGCAAAATAGAGATTTCAGAAGAATCTTGTTTGTTAGTTCCCCATGGAAATACAGACATTAAATGAAATGACATGGAATTTAGCCTAGGGGTTATTCCCACTTTTTTATTATTTTATTATTTAATTATTTTTTTGCAATTTTATCCAATTGTATATGTCTACTTGGCAGTGAAGTGACACATCACGTCAAATAATCCTAAATAAATTTGACTGGGTATCATGTCACGCTATGTCACATTTTTATTTAGGTGCGGATAGAAACGAACCAAATCAATTGCGCTTAATATTTTATTTTCTCTAATTTTTCATTTTCATGTTATATAAAAAATATTATTATACTACATAAAGAAAGTGTCCCTATAGCGATAATAATATAAAGAGAAATTCATGGAAACATTAAAGTAATATGTATCAATCTATTTCAATGGTTCCAAGAAAAAAAAATGCATCGTGACGATCAAAAAAATATTATTTTGAATTTTGAATTATATTTAGGTAGCATGATATTAATTGAAAATTGTCCTATTTAATAGTATGAACAATGTAAGTAATTCGTGCAAAGTGGTCATTAAAAAAAATTTACTTAAAACACTTATCTTAAATCACATTTACCAAACGTATATGAAAAATGTAAAATACTTTTCCGAACCGACCTAATGAAAAATCCATATTTAATATGAATTTTTATTTGAGAAGCGTTCTCAAATATGTAGTAACACAAGAGCACAGCGAGAAAATTCAAAAAAATTGCCCCATTATTTGACTGGTGACTGGTGTCAGCACGTACACTATCATCACACCGCTTGAATCGTGATGTGTAAAAGGATAAATAAAAACACACAATCCACACTTATCCACACAAAGCAAAAAGCAGATGAAAGAAGAATCAGAATCAAAGAGAAAAAAATGAATAGAGTGGAGGCAGCCCACAACGTCCACATCCTTGGGTCCGGCGACACCACCGTCGTCCTCGGCCATGGCTTCGGAACCGACCAGTCAGTGTGGAAGCACTTGGTGCCCTACCTGGTGGACAGCTATCGTGTGTTGCTCTACGACAACATGGGCGCCGGCACCACCAACCCGGAATACTTTCACTTCGACCGCTACTCCACTCTCGAGGGCTACGCGCACGACCTCCTCGTCATCCTCCACGAGTTCAACATCCGCAGCTGCATCTTTGTCGGCCACTCTCTCTCCGCCATGACCGGCGCCATCGCCTCCATCATCCGCCCTGACCTCTTCCAAAAAATCGTCATGCTCTCCGCTTCCCCGAGGTACCTAATTAATTAATTTGTGAATCGAATTGAATAATCAATTGATAAAGTGTTTGATTGTTTGATTAATTATATAAAATTAGGTTTCTGAACACGGCGGACTATTTGGGTGGGTTTGAGGAGGCGGACGTGGAGCAGCTGGCAGGGGCAATCGAGACCAATTACAAGTCGTGGGTGTCGGGATTCGCGCCGCTGGTGGTTGGGGGGGACATGGAGTCGGTGGCGGTGCAGGAGTTCAGCCGGACGCTATTCAACATGAGGCCAGACATAGCAGGCAGCGTCTTCCGCACTATCTTCACCTTCGACCTCAGGGACTTCCTCGGCCAGGTCACAGTCCCCTGCCACATCATCCAGAGCTCCAGGGACATGGCCGTGCCGGTGTCCGTGGCCGAGTACATACACAAGAGGATCGGTGGGAGGTCAGTCGTGGAGGTCATCAACACCGAAGGCCACCTGCCGCAGTTCAGCGCGCCTGAGGTTGCCATCCCAGTGCTGCTTCGCCATATCAAAAATGATATCGATTCTTTGGGTGGCCGGAGGACATGGGTTCCGATCCAAGGTCGTTAAATTGTGTCTGCCACTTTTTAATGCGTTTTACTTTTTCCTTGCCTTTTTGTGGTGCTGCTTTGTACTCCCTTTTTAATGCGTTTTACTTTTTCCTTGCCTTTTTGTGTGCTGCTTTGTACTCTCTCCTATTTCGTTTTGAGAAATTGTCACACTAATTAAAAATAATTTTTTTGTCAATAATAATCTTCATTACTGAAGATAGAGATGGATGTTTTAAAAAAGATGAAAAGAATATGAAAAGACGTAGAGAGATGAATGTTTTAAAAAAGATGAAAAGAATATGAAAAGACGTGTATTTATTAACTAAATGAGGGTAATAATGAAAAAATATGTACAAAATATCTAAAATGATATTTATTTTGATTAATAATGAATAAAGTCAAAATGACATGTAAAAAGAATAGGAAGTAGTATATGAAATGAGAAATAAATCTGTTAACTGGAATTTGCCTTTTGAATTTCCAGTATATCTCAAAGTTGCGAGTTTTGTTTAATCATGAAGTATATGCGTAAATGACTCTAAAATATATCATGGTTAAATTATAGCCCGGTGTTAATGTTAGCGGCCCGCCAAATACTTCGTACCCGCAGTTAATTTGGGCTTAAAGGTGGAATGGTCCATTATTTAATTTGGTCCCAACGGGCCAGATAAAACAGTCAGGGATTTAACTTTCTCTGAATTGATGGTATTGTCTCTGCTTTTTCCTATATACATGTTTAACATGTATATAATAATTTTTAGAATTTTTTTCTTGTCTAAAGATAGAAATAAAAGTGGAAAAGATTGATTTGAAAAAACAAAAACAAAAAACAAAAATGAAGTTATAAATAAATATAAAATAAAAATGTAGTAATGATCAAAAAAGAAATTATAGTATTTACAAGTCTTTCCCCCCAAGTAAAAATCCGTCCTTTCAGATTTGCAACCTCCTTAATTACTACATCTTTCCTACAATAAATATGGTAATCAAGATAAAACCTAGTCTTTCCACCCAAGTAAAAATCCGATATTGAAGGTCCTCAACAATTCCTACATGTGCACACAATAAATACGCTAAATCAATTTATTTCCTAGAATTTACTCATTGTTTCTTCCCATCAAAAGAAAGTTTTGGAGGTTTTTGCGCGCATGGGGACAGGTACAGTGCTTCCGTCTGCATACGCCGTCTTCTTTGCGGGCAGAAAAACAGCCCACAGATCCAAAGCACCCAAAGGCGTCAACATCAAGAAGAGAAAGTTAGGCTGTTCTGACTCTGCCGGCCGAGCTGAAAAGTCAAAGAGGATCACAGGTTCGGGTTCTGGTTCGGGTTCATGGTACGGAACCATACACGACTACGAGTGTCTTGACATGATCAGCCAGGGCAGGTACGGCGCCGTCTACAGAGCACGCCACAAGAAAACCCACGAGATTGTAGCCGTGAAAAAGGAATTTGGCGGGTTATGCGAGTCCACACTAACAGAAATAAGCATCCTCCGCTCCATCCGCCACCCGTCCGTAATCGAGTACAAGCAAGTGGTGGTGGATGACTTTGACGGGATTTACGTGGTAATGGAGTACATGGAATACGATCTCCACGACTACCTGAAGATGATGAAGCCCTCCATTGATCTTCTCCAAGTCAAACGCCTGATGAAGGACCTTCTCGAGGGAGTCCACCACCTTCACCAGAATGAAGTCATGCACAGGGACCTCAAGCCATCCAACCTCCTCATAAACTCGGAAGACGGCAAGCTCAAGATTTGCGATTTCGGGCTGTCGAGTCGGTTGGAGGACAAGCCCAGCACGCCACATGTGGGGACGCTATGGTACATGGCGCCCGAGCTGTTCCTTGGGGCCCACGCATATCTGCCAGCTGTCGACATGTGGTCGGTCGGGTGCATCATGGCGGAGTTCTTCTTGGGGAAGGTGCTTTTCAGAGGGGAGTCGGAAATCGAGCAGGTTCAGATGATAGTGAGTAATCTGGAGCAGCCGCATTGTGTGCTGCAACACAAGTTTGCGGCTGCTAATAGTGCTTTGAAAGGGGGGCCGTTGTTAACGGAAAGTGGATTCGAGCTGCTGTCGAGCCTTTTGACGTACAGTCCGCAAGACAGAATAACGGCTCGAGAGGCTCTAGATCATTGCTGGTTCCAAGAGTGACTAGTTTGGAGTGTAAGTGGCTACGCAGTTGATACATACACCTAAAAACACCAGAAAAAGTAAATTCATAATTAGACCTTTGTGTTGTAATGAAATTGAGATAAAATTTATTAGCTTCCCACTTCAGATACGTATTGCCTGTGGATCTGATAGAAAACGCATAAACAAACAGTGAATTGTTTACTCAAGGAATAATAAAATCAGTTATGTGCAACATGTGATCCATGCTTCTCCGGTCACTAGGAATTGTTTGTTCGTGTCTCCTCAGTTCAATTTAAGGTCATGCCTATTCTTTTACTTTTCGTTTTGTATTGATTGGTAATCTTGAAGCTCCATCAATCTGTACGAATCCTTTTTGGTACCTCAACTGTAATTGAGTAATTATAGGATGGCGTGAACTAGCAATTCAAAAGTCTGTTGCCGAGGATGACGATGACGAACAGGAGGTATAACTGATGGTCCAAAGAATCTAATGGTATGCCCCATCCTAGCTAGCTAGTGTAATTGTTACTGTTAAAACTTAGACCCCTTCTTTTCCTGCTACCTTGTACTGTATCCAATGTTCACATATTTGCAAAAGGGATGGTTTTCTGTTAAGTTTATGCTGTATATCATATGTGATCCAAGAGGGCATCACAATTGCTCATCATGTCATGTTACTAACTCAATACAATAGGTGTCAGATATGGATAACTCATTTGGTAGATTTCCTATAAATAATTATGTCACTGTGTACATGTTCCCATTTCACTCCAATACTTTGTTTAAGCTTAACATTAGCAGGGTACCTGAATCTTATTAATTAAAATAAATAACTTGAAGAAAAGAATTGCTATAAAAATTTTGTGAGAGTATAACTTACATAAGTTTTTTGCTGAGTTTATAATTAGTTGATATTAGTAGTAATTATTATATGATAACTAAGCTAAAAAAGTATTATTACATTTGCTAGAGATGTTAAACGGGCTAGTCCTAGCGGTTTCGGACTAACCCTAGTGGGCTTCGGGCTAAACGGTCCGGGTCTAGAAAACCTGGATTTAAACGGGCTATTAATAAAGGGACCTAATTAGTAATTACCCTAACCCTAGCGAGCTTCGGGCTAAACGAGATATAATAATAATAATAATAATAATAATAATAATAATAAAATAAAAATATATATAACAAACTACAACGGCTAGGTAACAATTATTTTTCAACGACTATTTAGTATTTACCGTTCTATATATACCACTACAAATCATATATGAACACGCATTACAAATCTTAAATAACATATTTTTTCTCAAAAGAAAGAAATATTCTAACTATTATTTACAATTACCATTTTACTACTTATTTTGTACGTTTGGGCAATTTCACGATATTGTATCATTAAAAATTCTATCACTATGTTTCATATGTATTTCCTATTAATGGTTTTGATTGGCTTAAAATTTTGGTGTGAAGTACTTCACACTATATTGTTAATAATGACAATATTGTTAATAATTATCTTTCAAAATCATAATAATTCATTACAGTTCATACTTACATGTTGAGTGAAATAGCAAAATTGTAATATACAAGAAATTTAAGAGCATATTACTTACTTGATGCAAACATTTACACCGTCCAACCATAGTTAAACGGGCCAATCTTATCGGGTTTCGGGCTAAACGGATGTTTGTAGTATTTTTGGGCATGTGGTAACCGAGTTACCCGACTCGGGTCGTTCTCAAAGGAAGGCTCTTCGGAGCTTCGTTCACTATCTAGTTGTCAATTCACAAGACCGAAAATAAAGTACTAAACATTCTACTCGCTTGATTGTGGGTTGATTACACAAAATTAAACTAATCTACGAGCAAATAATGAAAATGTAAGAATCGAAAGAAATGTCGAACTTTGGTTGCACGGAATCTCCACACTTGACGAAAATAAAAATAACAAAAAGAAAACATACGAGCCAAGTGATCCTAAGTAATCGAACACGAACTTTCTATCCTAGATCATCCCGCTTTGAGCAAAGTCGAGACTTCTATACTAGATAAGCGCGTATCGAATCCTAACACACTTGAACAAGTAATGAAAATAATGCAAGGCCTAAAATCGAACACAAACACATCATTCCAACCAAATTACAACTCGAAATAACAAACCCTAAGCTAGGTGTTTATTCTCCTATAGCAAGAATGGATGAAAGTAATGCGTAGAGATCGAATTTTAGATAAAAATAAAGTTGCCGGAAAAATTGCCGGAAAAGTCGCCGGAAAACTCGCTGGAAAATGTCAAGGTGGACCTCCAACCAAAGAACCAAAAATATAGAGAGAAGAGGGAGAGGGATATTTCCCAACTCTAAGGTTGGGAAAATGAGGGAATTCCCTAAAATACACACACAAAGGTCTATTTATACATACCACACAAACACACACTAAAAACACACACATTTAATGAAATTCTGAAGTTCGCAGGTCTCGAAACGGGGTTCGCAGCGAGTTTGGGCTTGGACTAGTGCAGCTGGGCGCGTTCGCGGGTCGCCAAAGTGATTTCGCTGCGAGTGCTGGAAGATTGTGCTGTTGGTGCGCTTTCGCGGGTCGCGAACAGAAACTCGCAGCGAGTTCGGGCATTTGGAGCTGCTGGGGTGTTGCGCTTGGCGCGGCGCGAAAGAGAACTCGCAGCGAGTTCAATCTGGTGGTGTAAGGCTCCGCGTTTCGCTGGGCGCCAACTCCTATTCGCAGCGAGTTCGTGCTGGTGGTGTGATGTGTTTGGCGAGGCGCGAAATAGGACTCGCAGCGAGTTCGCGAGTCTTGGGGTGCTTGTTATGCTCGTGACTCGACCAAGTAGCTCGGGTGATTCGGGGCTAGTTCGAGTGGCTCGTAAATGGCTCGGAAAATTACCCGTATTCCCAATCGTACCAATTGGACCTACACAACACACCAAAATATGCAAGAAATACGACCAACATACAAAAACGCATAATAAAAATGAAAATACATAAAACACGACAAAATGGGCCGGTTGACACAAAAACGAACCTAAAAATACTAAACTAAAACACATAAATCACACGAAAACAAACACAAAAACATAATAAACAACGGACCGGGCTTAAAAACCCTGATTTAAACGGACTAACAATAAAGGGCCTTAATTCTGGTTTCCAGGCTAAATGGGTCGGTCTGTCGGACCAAAGACCATTTAACATCTCTAACGTTTACATTTAACTAATGTAAAATGTAAATAACGAGCGAAAAAATAACATTAAATTAATAACCTACCATTATATACATATAAATTTAAGCAAATACAATAAAAAGAAAAGCAAATAGTAAATGCTTAAGTAAAAATGAGAAAGAACTTCAAAGCTTTGACAACACAAGGATTCCCGCAGGTGAATTCAACACCACCACGCGCTGATAGGAATAAAGTCTTAACACAAAATCATTTTGGATTAAATTAGTGCGTGGCCCGTGCGATGTACGGAAAAACAATATTACGATTATATTATAAATTATATATATAAATAACATTAATCATGATTTATCTATTGTTTTTAACTTAAAATGGATTGAACACAGTCTGTCCGAATGGACCGAGAACCAGTTTATAACCAGTCTAGTTCGCTTGAATAAAATATTTGCTATCAAATCCGTCAATACCAGTCGATTGAACTGATAGGACCGATACGATTTTTCAAATAAATTTTGTTACACTTAAAATTATTATAAATAAAATTACATATTTAAATAAAATATAAATTTATAAATTATTTATCAATTAGTTTAAACATTTTAATTTATAAATTATTTAGATATTAAGTAATACATTTTATTTAATTTATTACAAAAAGTACTGTATATATATATATATGTATATATATATATATATATATATATATATAAATGTTTATAAATTAAAATATGAACAAACCACAAATAATTTAATAAAATAGCTTGATCGTTTCGATGACGGTACGGTTCTGAAAATCTTATATTTACTGTACATTAATAAACATTGTTTNTTACAACCACCAAAAATTAATTCAATCAACCTGAGCAGTACACTAATTCAATCACCCGATTAATCCAAATATATTTTTACTATTTTATTTAAATATATTTAATTTTATGAAATAAAAATATTTTATAATTCATATAATTAATGTCTACACCAAACGATTGTATATTAAGATTATAAATTATATATCTAAAGATGAAATAATAATTTTTACTTCGTGCGCGGAATGTGTTTGGGTATCTATGAAAAGAATTTTCAGCACAACAATAAAACTTTACAGTTTCTTTTATACTATTTTGTATATGCACGTGTATTAATAGATAACCACAATGTGTAGATAATATATTTTGTTATGATCTTATCCCCTGTATAATATTTATAGTCAATAAGGGATATTGAATTTAAATTTAAACTTCAAATTTTACATCTTTTATATGCGATTATTTATTCTGCCCGATTTTATGGCAATCGAATTGCAAGGAATTTTGAAATTTAAATTATCAATTAAATATTGCATCCGATTTTCATTTGCAATTAGTTTTTTTGAATATATATAAACGGAGAAGATATAAAGTTTGTTACTATGCTAATTTTTTTAATATGACCGATTTTTAATACTTAATTACATAAAATAAGATATGATATATAATCTAAAAACTGTTGCAATTAGTAATAATATTTAATTTTGAGGTAGTTTATTTATATACAAAAACTCTAATACTATGTTTCTTAATTAAAAATATTCATTCGAATTTATGCCAACAAAAAATTAAGAAATTGTAAAATTTTAGTTTTAAATTCGAAATGAGAGTTGATTTACAATGCAATCGTTTTTTTTTTTACAATGTAATTGATTTTTTTCGAATAAAAAATGAGTCAACTTTTGCATGTTTATCCACTCCTGTAAATTAGATGCACAAAAACAGAGATCATTTAAGGTTAACCGATTTTTTGGGGAGTGAATTAAAACGTAAAATAAAAAAAATAGCTAAAAATAGTATGCA